AAAAAAGAGATAATTACTATTACTACTTAACACTGATAGCGTTAGAATGATCAATTTATATACTTATCATGGATATCAAAAGTTAAAAAATGATTCAAGTTTTACACTTGCTTCATATTATTTTTGTATTTTTGCAACATATTTTTTTAGCACATATTAGCTATACAATGTCTGATTTTGTAATATTCAGATTTTTCATTTTACAATTAACGAAACTGCATAGATGATTTTACTGAAGATTACCGGATAAATTTCTTCATCCAAATACATTGTTATATAAATTATGAGATATCTAAATAAATACAATCTTGTAATTTTTATAAAATAGCAAATACCATTCGCTTTAAGTGCTTGGTACGTTTAGCGTTAACTTAGACATTTTATAAAAATATCATATTGTATATTTTGATATGAGGCAATGTCCTAACTCATCAATATCATAGTTACGTGTAATCGGAAAGAGATAAACAACTTTTTCGTAGAATTGCAAATTATAGAAAGTAAGCATAATAGCAATCTTTGTAACCTCTGGCAGCAACTTGCAACAGTGAACGTTGTAGATCGAAATTTTAGTTGAATAGTAACAGCAGATTGCGGATATTATGCATGTATGACAAAAATAGTGGAAACATTTAAAAAATTTAAAACTACTGTTGACCTATTTTCAACTAAAGTTATTAAAAAACGAAATAAATATATGTATATCTAGCTCCTGTACCTCGTAGTTATTTCGGACCATTTTTATTTTGTTTCATTTCCGCGAATGCGATAGTAATATTTTTATATTAATGAATCAATAATGTTATATTTATCATATGTGAAACGGTTTTGATATATAGTCATTTTGGTATACATATAGTATATAGTCATTCACATTGCATCAATTATCTATTTGTTTCGATGAAGTATGTTAGATGGAAATGAAGAAATTATAGTTTGATTATATTTCCGAAATTTTTATGATACAAAAGTACAAACTTTTTAACGTAGGAAATTAATTTGGGATTTACGATTAACAAATTTCTTTTTTTATACGGATTTTTGTATCTTTGTCAAAACTACTTTGATATTCGAGAAACAAAATAAA